ACTACATGATTTGCAGGTGTGAAAGTGACAACATGTTTTGCATTGAAAGCGGAAGTGATGTAATATTCTTTTGCTTCCGCTGTGTGATGAGACACCTAGCTAACAGGTGGGAAGCCTCACTTTCATCATTCACTGTGTGTGCTGCCAGTAATACAGAGTCATGTCAGAGTTTACTGAGCTTCAGAGGGCAAATGGTTGGTACTCGCTTAGCTGGTGCCTCTGGGACTGAGGTTGCCATTTTATTTGACGTGTAGCAAGGTACAGTATCATATGCCAGGAAAACATCTTATGATAAGCATAAGCGCGGTCGACATGGTCAACTAACTGAGAGAGACAAAAGGACATTGTGCAGGATTGTGACCCACAATAAGAAAACAACTGCTGCAAAAATGACTGCAGAGCTCAATCTCAGTCTTCCAAAGCCTGTGTCCACAAAAACTGTGTGGAGGAAACTCCATAAGCAAAACATTCATGAGTGAGTTGCAACTGCCAAACCACTAGTGACCAATATTAATGCTCAGAAGAGTGGTTCAACACCCATAAATCCTTGACTATCTTTCAATGGAAGACTTTAATATGGTCTGCTCCTAACACCATCCCAAACTTATGACCAGGACTGTCTTGTGCCAGCGGTAAAGCATGGTGGCAGCACAATCATGGTTTGGGCACCCATATCTTGGTATTTTGCAGGCCCCATTATCACCTTGAAAAGTAGCATCACTGCCAGTGACTGTGTACAAATTTTGTCTGACCATGTGCACCCCATGGTGCAGACATTGCTTCCTGTAGACAGCGCTATCTACCAAGACGATGATGTTCTGATTCACACAGCTGGTGTTGTCAATTTGTGGTTTGACAAGCATGCAGATGAAGTCTCGGACCTCAATATCATAGAGTCACTATGGTCAATTTTAGAGAACAAGGTTCGGACTAATTTTTTGCCTCTGGCATCTCTTCGAGAACTGGAATGATTTTTGCATGAAGAATGGTATCAGATTCCATTATCCATCATCAAAGACTTTATTATGTCAATTCCAAAGAGAATTCAGGCCATCTCTACAACCCCTGCATAAGAATCCAATAAAAAGGTTACTGTATGATAAAATGGATAAAATGATTATAAAAAATAATAAACTATTATAGGTAAAAGGTAATAGTGTGTGTATATATATATATATATATATATATATATATATATACTGTATAAAGGGTATGTGAATATACTATATGAGTAATGATTATTATTATTAGTTTATGTTGGGAAAAATATAAAAACTATAAAAAACTCAAAAACTGGTAATTGATGCCTGAAAACTTTTTCAATGTGGGATAAAGCCAACAGAGTATGCAGAGTAAAAAAAGAAAAAATAGTCTATATGATATAAATATATGAACAAATGTAAAACTTATATTACTCAAATCACTTTATCAAAGAAAAATCTGGAGATGAGATTCCATTGACTAGTGTATTAGAAAGAGGAAAAAAATAAAAAATAAATATCTTCTTGAAAAGAGGAGCAATATACTGTATATGGACTGAATTGAGGGTAAAATGTTAAATTTCAACCTGTTGGGAGAAAAGTAACTGCTGGATTATTATTATTATATTATACAGTATTTATAAAGCGCCAATAGTTCGCTCAGCGCTGTACATTACAAAGGGGGACAGAACATGTGACAGAACAATACCAATACAATGCAAAACATGGGGGGAACGAGGGCCCTGCTCTTTCGAGCTTACAATCTAGGAGGGAGGGGATGGTGGTACAGGAGGAGAAAGCTGTGGGGGATGGGGTGGTAGGAAGAATGGAGGAGGTTGGCAAGCTTAGCAGGGGGATGGGTAGGCTTCCCTGAAGAGATGGGTTTTCAGGGTATGCCTAAAGGAGAGGAGAGTAGGTGATAATCTGATGGGTTGGGGCAGGGAGTTCCAGAGGATGGGTGACACCCTGGAGAAGTCCTGGAGGCGGGCATGGGAGGAGGAGACCAGGGAACTAGAGAGAAGGAGGTCTTGTGAGGAGCGTGAGTGTGCATGCTGGGCGGTACTTGGATATTAGGTCAGTGATGTAGTTCGGGGCAGTATGGTGGACGGCTTTGTACGTCAGTGTTAGGATTTTGAATTTGATCCGTTGCGCAATCGGAAGCCAGTGGAGGGATTGGCAGAGGGGGGTGGCGGAGACGGAGCGGTTGGAAAGGTGAATGAGTCTGGCTGCCGTATTCAGGATCGACTGAAGCGGGGATACCCAGCGGCGAAGCAGGCCAGTAGGAGGGAGTTGCAGTAATCAAGTCGTGATATGATGAGGGCGTGGATGAGCTGTTTAGTGGTTTCTGGGGTTAGGAACATGCGGATTTTGGCGATGTTGGATGAGTTGGATGAGTATGAGCTGAATTGCTATTGCTAAGAACAGAAGGGAAAAAGAAAGTCTTGTGTTACCTATCCACTTTCCCTTTCTTTCTTGTGATTCATTGTAGCCAATCACCATTTACTGCTTTGTCTAGTCTGTTATAATGAAAAGTTATATTTTTTGGTTACTGATAGCCTGAAAATGTAAAATAATAAAACCAGGAATGTGTAACCAGGACAACATGTTTTATATCCATACATACAGATGTGTGTAGCAAACCGGGTAGGTATCTAATGTTTATCGGTTAATGAACACATAATCATACTGCTAATATTAATGACCACAGAAATGGATGAGGCATCTTCTTGCACACACTGTAAATTTTAAATACACTCAACATGAATCTTCCATCCTCTTCTCATCAAGGGCAATGCAAACACATCTATATTCTCCCACAGATTCCCCAGCACTGGGTAGCAGAGATATCCCTGGGAGCATTATCATTGTGTGTCAGCATTTTACTTATCTGTATAATGCAGAGCATTCTCTGTACAGCTCCGGGCAGCACTTCCTGTTCTACAGTCATTTAAATGGAAGATAGTTTTAATAATGTTTTATTCTATTTTATAAATCTCAATTTTAAAGGGTATTTCAGGAAACATACACAAAATTCAACCAATAAAGCTTGAATGTAACAGATTGCCTTTTCAGCAATCCACTGGTCCTTTGTCCCATTTTGCAAACCAATTATACGTATTTATGGATCCACTGTCATTGAATGGTGACACTATGCATGGCCTTAAAGAGTAACTCCACTTTTGTGTAAAAACACATGAATAAATTATGAGTATTTCCTGCTTATATGGCTGCTTTTCACAGAACTTTTTCTTTTATTATAACATTGGGGCTGATCGTATAATCACAGCAGGGAATTCTACCTTCCCATTCCGCATATAGAAAAGAGAAATGTAGGTGTCTTTGTAAGCAGAAACCACAGCAGGTATAACTCAGAAAAAATAGTACTGTTCTGAAGATTTAAAACCAACTATAACTTAAAAAAATATATATATATGGTTGTCAGGATTAAAACTGAGAGTAAGTTTCAAATAGTGGAAATTGTAGTGTATGCGTTCACATATGATGAAATGATCCAATTGGTAGGATCTCATAATCAATGAATTCATAACTTGCAGAGCTCAGCATGTAGTATATTGTATCAGCTGTCCATGTGGCTTTTATTTTGTGCTGTGTGCTTACTTAACAAACTGCTTCAGGAGCATTTCAGGTCAATAACTGCAGGTGTTGGAGCACTTTGATAAATTGAACATGTCCACATAATGGAGATTACAAAGTTTTGAAAATGAAGGTTTGAAAATGTTCCCCACCCCCAGAATGCAGATAGGAGGAAAACTCAACTGCCTCCCTTGGATTATAAACTGTTGGCATTCCTGTAGAATATTCTGATGGGGAGAGAAAGAAAAGTGACCTAGGGATGAGCTCAGCAGTTTACTGCTTTTTTTTTCACTATTCAAACACAGACCGGGGGAGGGACAAGACCTATAAAAGACTCATTTACACCAGCCGTACCCCCTGAAAAGTAATCTGTGGTGAACCACTTTTCAAAGGACATTCAATGGGCAGTGAGGTGGCATTTTACCTCCTCGCTGCCTATTTTAACCTCTAAAATACTGCATTGTCAAACTACACTCTCGTGCATTGCATTGCACCTGTTTGTGGTGCCCCTTTTAGTTGAATGGGTTGTGTTTGACAGTTTTGACAGGCAGTACTTTGACGGGGGGATTAGCATAGCCACTAAGGCATGGGTACACCCCTTTCTGCTGCCATTGCAGTTTTATGCGGAATTGGGGGGGCATAAAAACAAAGCTCAACTGCATGTTTTTATCACCCCCAACCACAATTGTAAACCTTAGCCCAAGTGTCAATTTATTGCAGCATAAAACCAAAAAGTGTAGCGCTATATCCTTCTCCTTAAAGCGGAGCTCCACCCAAAAGGGGAAGTTCCGCTTTAAGTACTGCTCCCCCACTCCCCATTAAGGATTGGCACCTTTGGGGGGTGGGGGGGAGCGGTTACCTGAATTTGACAGGTACCCGCTCCCACTTCCAGTCCGGTCGCCTAGGCGATTGGAAACGGAAGGTGCCCTCCCTCCCTGTAGTCTTTTGGGACACGTGACAGGTCCCAGAAGACTACAGGACCATTCATGAAGAGCAGAGCTACTTGCGCATGCGCAGTGGGTACCCGGCTGTGAAGACGCAAGCTATCACAGCCAGGTGCCCACACTGAAGATGCCGACCTCCTAGAATATAGGACGACTGGTGAATCGGGCTGCAGGGGACACACGACGGGAGCAAGGGACAGGTAAGTGGCTGTTTTTTAAAAGTCAACAGCTACACAACTCATACAACCAAAAGTGCAGATCGTGCAAAAGTTCACAAACTCATAATAAATAATATAAAAAGTCCCAATTCATAATGAATACCTGATGAAAAAATCCAAAGTAACAGTCCAAAACCATATACTATCATATACTATACATTAATTGTATGCTGATGCCATAAGAGTTCCCTACACTGGAACTAAGGGGCCAAGCCCAACCCCTGAAAAACATCCCCACACCATAATCCCCCCTCCACCAAACTTTACACTTGTGCAGTGCACAATGCAGTCAGGCAAGTACCATTCTCCTGGCAACAGGCACACCCATTGGATTGCCAGACAGAGAAGCATGATTAGTCATGCTAGAGAACACATCTCCGCTGCTCTAGAGGCCAGTAGCGGCGTGCTTTACACCACTGCATCTGACACTTTGCATTGCATTTGGTGATGTAAGGCTTGGATGCAGCTGCTCGGCCATGGGAACCCATTCCATGAAGCTCTATATGCATGTTGTACTAATCTGAAGGACACACAAAATTTGGAGGTCTTTAGCTATTGACTCTGCAGACAGTTGTTGACTTCTGCACACTGTGTGATTCAGCACAGTCTATCTCCACCCTGCTTGGTATAATCCCACTAACAGCTGACCGTGGAATATTTAGTAGCAAGGAAATTTCACGGATGGACTTATTGCACAGATGACAACCTATCACGGTACCACGCTTGAATTCACAGATCTCCTGAGAATGACCCATTCTTTCACAAATGTTTGTAGAAGCAGTCTGCATGCCTAGGTGCTTGATTTTATACACCTGTGGCCATGGAGGTGATTGGAACACCTGAATCCAATGATTTGGAGAGAAGAATTTAGAAGAATTTATTTTGAGTTGTTCATTGGTGATAGGCCATGGTAGTAGCAAGAAAAACACAGCTAAATTGAAATATTTTTTTACTATTTTGATTCACTTTTCCTATGATAACGAAAAAGAAATAGGAAATATCATTTCCATTTATCACCAAATGAAATCCCAATTTGTCTTGAAAAAAACAAGCTAAAATTCACCTGGATACACAAAGTAGTTGCGTTGATATGTGCAGTTTTACTAACACATCTCAAAGTTGCTAAAATTGTGTTCAGGCATTGGGATTTGTTTTACCTTCATCATAACTGTAAGAGAGCGTTTCTGTTGAAAAACAACAAACTTATTGGCTGGATCACATAGAAGAAAATAAAAGAGAAGAAAGAAAGCCTACAATGAAAATAATGGAACAATCACATCTAATCATCGGTTAGCTGCAATATACTAAATGTTTCCTTTTGGATCTATAACTACTTTAAATGCAGTCCTACCAGTCCACAGTGCTAAAAGGTCTTCAGCAGCACTTCTGCAATCTGCAAACTGATTGATTCCTGTTACCAACCCAGCTTGTTCCTTGACACATCTGCAATTTCTGTCTTCATATCTACAGCCCTGTACCTCATCTGCTCTGCCTTGTACACTGAGGAAAGTCATGGAGGAAACACTACAGAGCCAACATTTGTCCCCTTGCTATTGTGGGAAGAGGGTGGTAATAGTTGTCAGCTTGAGCTTTAAATGACATACAAAAGCTACAACACAAGCCACTAGCTGCTACTCTAGTCTCTCTCCCTGCAATAACAGGCGGGTGGGTCTTCGCACAGTTACCTAAGAGTACTAGCTGCTATTGAAGTAAAGACAATTCAAGAAAAAGGGAAACCTTTGTATACCAACAACATTTATAACCTTAAAGGTAAAGGGAGGGTGTGCTTCACTAGATCATGCATTTTATTCAATTTTCCTGAATGCATATTCTTCGCTGTAGAGGGGATTAGGCTCCTTTGGCAGCTCTCAATGGAGTAATAGCTGAGGATCAGCTAGTAACCTGCTTAAAACTAGCCATGAAAATATGAAAGTGCCAGACACAATTCTTATAGCATCCAAATAAAACATCATTTATAGCCTCGGTTTGTAAAAAACATCATGTTTTGGGGTTTCAAAGGGTCTGCCTTCATTGGGGCTCAGTATCTCTGAAAAAGAGGTAAGTTGGACCTTGAAATAGAAAGATTCCAATATGGGCAGCACAGTGTCTAAATGGTTAGCACTTCCACCTGGCAGTATTAGGGTTGTTGGTAAGAATCCCAGCCATGTCACCTCCTGCCTGGAGTTTGCATGTTCTCCCTGTGCCTGCGTGGGTTTCCTCCAGGTACTCTGGTTTCCTCCCACACTCAAAAAACATGCTGGTAGGTGAATTGGCTCCTGTCTAAATTGTCCCTAGTATATATGAATGTAAGCTAGGGACCTTATATTGTACACCCCTTGAGGGTTAGGGACTGATGTGAATGTATAATATGTATGTAAAGCGCTGCATAAATTGATGGCACTATATAAGTACCTGAAATAAATAAAATGGTATTTAGATTCTGTGCAGGAAAAATCACTTGAGATTTCATTTAAACCAACGTCTGAAGTAATCTTTTCCTTCAGGAATCTTCCTACAATAAAAGTCCAGCATACATATTTTTGGAGATACCAAATCCTAATGAAGGGAGACCCTTTGAAATACATTGACATTTTATGAAGCAACTGTAGGCAAAGTTTTATATGGACTCTGCATGACTGACTTCTGGCCCTTACCTCCTTGCATGCCTAGCATCTATAATCTGACTCAAAGCTTTAACTTTTTATACTCTGTATAAAACATAGGAAAATGTTTTTGGCTGGAGTTAGGCTTTAAGCACAATAGTTTTTTATTTTTTAAACATTAAACAACCAAGGTTTGAACTTTGCTTTTAGGGCTGGTGGTTTAGTACAGCATTTTTCTCTAAGGGTAAGAACTTCACAAAGGAAGGCATAGAATAGATAACAGGTTATGGCAGTATACAAAAACATACTACTGTATTTGCAAATACGATTTGAAATGTCTACACAGAATCCTGACTGTAGATCCAGTCTAGAAATGAATGACAGTATTGTTATATAGACTGAGCAGAGCTCTGCTCTGTGATGTGCCAGCAGCAAGTTCGGTGGTTGGAGAGATCAGCAGCTGGATAGCTCCCTGTGTCTGTGTAATGCGGTCTGATCTTTACATCAACAGCTAATTCAGCCAATCATTCTTGCCAGCAGCACAGCACAGAGTCTGCCTTCCTAGGGCTGACTAATTGCAGCAGTTTGTCTGACCTCATTGCAGTGAAAAGCCCTTTGTCTGCCTAGAGTTTCGTTTACTGCTTATGTTGTCTCTTCAATCCCTATTTCTCTAATTATTCAATATCTGTTTATTTGCAGCAATCTGAAGATGTTGAGTAGAACACACATTTAAGACCATCAGCACATTATTTATACCTAAAGTGTCTTTAGAATTCTTCATTTAGAGTCTCTATTAAACCAGAAAATGTTTTTGCACATATAATAAAATTGTGTTTACTGCTTGTGCTTTATTCTCAATCTCCATCTTTATTTCTCTAACTATTCAAAATCTGTTTATTTGCAGCAGTATAAAGGTGCTGAGCAGAATAAACTTTTAAAACCATCAATGCCTTTTTTATACTTAAAATGTACCTAGATTTCTTCATTTAGAGTCTTCATTAAAACAGATTTTTTTTGCATACACAATAAAATTCTGTGCATATATACAAAGATTATTAAAGCTTGCGTGACATACATAAAAGCAAAAGAGTTTAAAATAAAAGGGGTAAAAATCCACAGAGATTACCAAAAGTTCTTCTCTTTTCTAGGGCCTTGAAAACTAAAATGTGGAGAATACTTCAGCAAATGAACCCCAAGAGTTCAGCCAATTACTGAATTTAAGACACTCAACTATACACTATTTTACAATCAAAATATAACTATTGCCCCTTGTGATGATAATGAAGTCTGATGAACCCCAACCTAAGTGGGGAAGATGGGGCATCATACTAAACGCAGTGTCATTGCACCAAAAAGTCACAATTCAATGGCAAAATAGTCAGATTGAACATTCAATTCAAGACACAGGCAGAACATTTTAAAGCTCAAGCCTGGCTAATCCTTCTTAGCCAGGCTCTGCACAGCTTCAGTCTCAGTGTTGATAGCAGTTGTAAACCTCCTTTAAGCAAGACTAATAATTGTCTGTCATAAAAACATTTAAAAGAGAATTCTGTCTCAACATTGACCCTCATGCCCAGGGCTGCTGTTAGAAACCATGAGGCCCCTTACACCCAACATAGCAGCCACCCCCCCCAAACCACAGGCCCCCATACAGCCAACCTAACAGGGCCCCCCCATCGCCACAAAAAAAACCACAGTTTACTGTGCTTCAGTTATAAATGAACACAGTGAGTGTTCGGTAACGAGCACTCACTGTGTTCATTCAAGAATGGAAGGGGCTAGTAAACTACTGGAACTGATCCCCGGTATATTTCTCTCTGTAGCAGCTGAAAGCCAGCCGGGGGTGGGGGGAGAGGATAAGAAGTCAGCTTTCAGCTGCTGCAGAGAGAGTCATACAGAGGATTGGTTCCAGTAATTTCCCCATTCACCCTTCCTGCCCACATCCGATTCACCCAGCTGCCTGGGCCCCCCTGCTGGCATGGGCCCCGTACAGGAGGACTGGTGGTACCCCCTTATCCACGGCCCTGCTCATGCCACTCTGTGTCCTCACATACCCTTTCACCACTATCAGGGGTGTTGGACTAGAGGTGTAAAACAAGCCCCTACTTCAGCCCTATCTACTCCAAGTACATGACATTGGTGTGGCAGTGAGACGTCACATAAGCATAACTCCATGAAAGTGAAGTTGAGTACAAGCTAAACTAATTTCAATTGCCATGATAAAGATTAGCAAAAAACTTTAAATTCATTGCATGGCTATGTGCTTCAAATACAGTACGTAATTATGCCTGATGACTAGAGACTCATTCATCTAAGTATACAGTATAGACCAAAACATGGGTATTGGATCCCTTATGGTCCTGGAGAGACCAATATCATTCACAGCTCTCCCATATGCCAAGGTTTTCAGGACATGTTTACGCTCTTTTTATAACTCACAACTGAATTTTTTGCATTACTTTTACTTATTATATCTGAGATGATAAATGGCTATCTGCATAAGACGTTTACAGTCTCAATTATGTTTCACTTTAATCTATGATGCACTGGCTTGGGATTGTTATAAATATAATGAGTTTGTTTTATTGCTGTCTATTATTGCTTTCCTTTCTCAGTGACCTCCTTTCCCCACATTTCTTGCCCTTGTATCACAGGTACAAAGAAAGGAAAATGAAATCTCCCACATGAAGTCACGGATGGCATATTTAAAATGTTACAAGTTCTAATACGTTCCTGTTGTCAATGGGTCTCTGTTATTTCACCTTTTCAGCATTCTCTGGAACTGAGAGACAGTGTGTGCAAAAAAAGGAATTTTAACTTACCTGTAAATTCCATATGTTGGAGTACAGTAAAGACATAGGCAACATACAGTATATGCCAAATAGCCTGAAGGTACGTACCTATAACCCACAGTGTATGAATATGTTGCCTGTGTCCTGTACAGTATGAGTCAGATAACTTACTGTTATAGATATGGATGCATGAATAGAAAACTATATAAAGTATACTGTATTTAAAACTGAACTCCAGACACAATTTAAAATACAAAAATGTGTGCAGAGTATTGCTTGCATTACACTGGTTCATACTTTTTACACTTCTCCTGCACCCCAGTTGCCAGATTTCCTGCAAAGTTGTGCTTGTGTCAATTAGGAAGCTCTTAGTTACTCTTAGGGCTAGAGAGAAAACAG